GCCAGCCAAGCCCTGGCGCATCTTGGCTGCTGCGATGCCAAGCGTTGCCCAGCCCGACTCCCTCCACCGACGTGCAGCTGGCCATGGGGCTGGCCCCGCCGGGCGTGAGCAGCGGGGTCATGGCCCTCGCTGGGATGCGATTCCGCGCCCTCGCAGAGCTGCATTCGCGCCTGCTCTCTGTACAGGTGGATCTGCTGCATCTCCGTGCGGCTGAGCTGGGTGGGAGCCTGGGCCTGGCGCTGGGCTGCTTTCCTAACGCGCACGCTCTCTTTTGCGTTTCAGGATCTGGTAAAGAGTCACTTGATGTATGCGGTGAGGGAGGAAGTGGAGGTCCTCAAAGAGCAAATCAAAGAGCTGATAGAAAAGAACTCCCAGCTGGAGCAAGAAAACACTCTGCTAAAAACACTCGCCAGCCCGGAGCAGCTCGCCCAGTTCCAAGCACAGCTGCAGACTGGTTCCCCGCCTTCCTCTTCCCAGTCACAAGGGACAACACAGCAGCCTGCTCAGCCGGCATCACAGGGGTCGGGGCCTTCAGCATAGTTCAAAATGCTATTGCCATCGTGATCGCTGGCCTCTGGACTGTCCAGAGCAAGAAGGACTAGCGGGAATCCGCCACAGCCACCCTTCATCCATTTCAATGCACGTTGCAACCCAGACTGAGGACTCCATGCCCTGCACACATCGGGAGAGGCTTCTCCCCCCCTGTATTACACACTCATCTGTCTCTCTCTTCCCTCCCTTCCCCCTTTGGCTTGAAGGAGTCTTTGTTCTTAGGTTGATTGTAAAATAAACTTCTTCCAGAGAATTAGCACAAGTACACTGGGGACTTGAGCAGCTTCTGCAAGTGGCTGAGAAACGAAGCTGCATGCCTGCATTTTTTTGGTTTGTTTTTAAATCTTCCACTCATCCAGTGATGTAACTGATACAAGTGCTTTTCGAGCTTGGAAATATGAAGAAATAGACTGGAGTGAAAAGCGATGGCTCAATCCCCCATAGTGCACTGGGGTTCCAAAGTGAGGACTGGTGCATAGGATCTTAAGAGGAAGAGGGAGAAAGGTAAATTCAGTGTTTAACACTTAACTGTCACCTGAAACCTTAAGTGCAAATATTTGCACCGTTTTCTGAAGCAGTGGACAGGTGCATAAAGCTGTGTTGTATATAGAAAGCAGGTAGGTGACGTACAGTTGGGTCATAGGATAATTACAATGAAGGTTATTTGCCTACTGTATATTTGTGTATTTAGTGTAATTACTTTGTAAAATAGAAAACTGTAACTATTTAGGTTGTACAGATTGAAGTTTAGTTGTTTCATTGGCTGAAGAAGTTTGGGAAGTTGTTTGGTTTTTTTTTTTTATTTTTAATGCTACATAAATAAGAATGCACCTACGCAACTGTTCAGAATTTGGCAGATTTATGCTGTTTGTGTAACTTCTGAAGTTCCCTGGCTGCTGATTATCTTGAGGTAAATCTTTGTTCATTGTAGTTTGGTTCAAGACAGGAAAAACCACTCCAAAAATTATCAAACCCTGCTAGCAAAGAATTTAAAAAAAAAAAAAAAAAATTGGGTTTCCCAGTATGGATTTTTTGCATATTATCTGTATAGTAGTATGCATATGTTTTTGTGCATGTTCTCTAAACAGTTGTAACACGTCAATGTATTTAACTGTTGCACTTGTCAACTTTCAATAAAGCATATGATGTTGATAAATCACTGTTTGTATATTGTACTAATGTTAACTGCAATCACGTTCAGCATGTTGCAGTGCAGTTTCACATGAGCAGTGAGGTCAAGAAGCATAGGTCTGGCTGCGAGATCCTGTCTGTTGGCTTCAGATCTCACAGGTTCAGCTAAAAATGCAGCTCCTGCTTTCCAGTTTCTTAGAAACGTGAGTGTGAAGTCAAGTGAAGGAGGGGAGGAGTAGGGGGCCTGACTAGGAGCAAAGCTCTTGTTTTGGTCCAATCCTATACGGTCAGGACTGTTGGGTGCCTTCTGTACATTGAGTAGTAGATAAGCAGGAGCACAGACTTCTGTATGATCAGCTGTAAACGTATAAATCTTGTGCAGCGGTTGTTCCCTAGCGGCAAACTCTGCCCTTGCCTGGGCGCCGGTCATCCCATGCTGGCAGCAGCTCCAACGCCCTTAATTTGGGGCGACAAAGGCAGCGGGCATTACAGCTTCCCCAGAAGGCCAGCCGTGGCACTGACTTCTCTCGAAAACTTCTAGTGACGACTGCAGACTGAAATCTTGATGTTCAAGAATTTCTCACTTCCACCTTCACAGCTCTTACCTTTGGTTATTTCATAGGTGGTGTTTTCTGTGAGTTGAAGTTGTGTAAACTTGTATTAATTCTGCCTTGTCAAAGTGTTCATTTCCAGTCCAGTGTGAAGACAAAACTGTTTCCCTTCAGCTTGAAAAAAATACTTTTTTCGTGTTTACTCATGATAATTAAAATATAACCAAATCTAAACCTACAGATCTCTAGGTGAAAGAGTATAGATACGGTGTAGTAGTCTGCAACTGGGGGAGTGAAGGAATTTGCAGTTTTACAGTGGATTCTGTTTCCTGGTGTTAAGGATGTGAATCTTGGATATTTAACAGTATTCACAATTAATGGGATAAAATGGTCAGTCCTTTTGAGGAGTAGTAGGACAGTGCTTTGACCGTGACAGCAGTGTCCTAATATTTGAATACAAGGAATTAATGTGACTTAAAACGTAAGAGTTAATTACAAGGTTTTTTATATGTTAATATGACTGCGTACTTCATGCAATGAAAATCAGGAGGTACCATTCTTGTGGAACTTCATATTATTGCGAATAGTTGGGCGTAGTAGAGAGAATGAGAAGGCTGAGGGTTCAAAGGCAGGACAGGTCACCTTTTTGTGTGATTTATAGCTAAATTCTTGCTTTTGGGTACTCCTCGTGCAGCAGTTCAGCAGCTGTATCAGTGCAGGCAGTTGCATTCCTTTATTGGGATTAGAGTATCAAAGTGCATGCATGAGTGTGTCTCTGGGAGTGTGAACCTTAACTTGTAGTTTGTGTTCTTTAGATTTCAATACATAATTTAAGAGTGTTCTCAATGAGGAACACCAGAGAGAAATGCAAGATGCTTTTTTTGATGGATTAAGCTAAAATTAGAAATTGATGATAGCCTTTGTGGCAGAACAGCACTTGAATTATCTGGATCTGACAAAAAGAATGCTAATTTTGGTGCTTTTTAAATGGCTTAATTGTCTCCAGTTGCCTTTATGTTCTGAATGTCTCTTTAGCACTTCCAGGCCATAACACTGAGTATATAAAAAAAGTCAATCTTAACATGCAAATAGGCTTTTTCACCTGCTTCACTGACCAAAATTTGCGAAGAATTATTTTTTGTTTAAAAAAGAAATTGACCTCTGGGTTTATTTCTTTTGCTTTGTTTAAAGAACAGCCTGAGTATATTCTAAATCCAAGATTATTTTTTTTTAACTGTTCTTTAATACAATATCTGGAAGTCTGAAGGTTTTCAGTTAGGTCATACATTGATAATTTTAGTACACCGTGCTTCAACGCTGACAAATCTGATCATTTAGTCTTAAGTACCGAACAGTTTTAAAACTATGGAGCTGGTTTTTGGAGCTGTTTATTAATTGCTAAAGTTAGGCAGAGCAACATTTTGTTGCTGAGATGATTTTAGCAATAGCTCTGTCAAAACTGCAGCCTCCTTCCATGAAACGGATTCAAATTGACTAAAATTGCACTTGAGACCCAAACAAAGAGTAGATGTTTCTGTCAGTTGTGTTGTAATACTGCTGGAATGAATTGTTTTGATTTTTGCTTTTGTTCTAGAACAAATCATTTTTCAGAGCAATTTAAATCAAACGTCAATAGTGAAGAGTATTGTCTTTTTCCACCAGAATTTTTCTTTATACAAACTCTGAGATGCTCAGGTTTTTCATCCACAGTGAGAATCAAATTAAATGTAATCTGTCTTTTATATGTCAGGTTTTTTATTTTCTGCATATCTCCAATTCAGTAATTCTCAGGCTGTATTCAAGCTGTTTGTCATTTAAGTTCTTGTTGACATTTAGCTGCACACTTGCTTTATTTTTAACAGCAATATGATAAACTGATCTAAGCAAATTATCATGGAGAGCAAGTTGCTATTTTTTTCCTCGTGGCTTTTTTTTTTAAAAAAAAAAGGATAATTTTTGGCAAATCATTTTAAGGCAAGTCCAGATTGTTCAGATTCTGAGGGCTCTGTAGATACTTGGGGAAGAGAAATATGCTTCAATAACATGCCTGAAAACTGTCCGGAGAGCACCCAGACAAAACCTCCCAGCAGCAGTGGAGTAAATGCAGTGCCTTAGAGATGCCTCTCCCTAATTCTTACGGAATAAATCAATGCCTTTGAGGCAGCTTCCTGTCTTTCAACTGGAGAAAGAACCCAGTGAGGTTATTTTGGGAATTACCACCCTTGATTTCTGTAGCTACAGTGAATGTATTAATCTCAATACAAAGGATTTTAATTATTATTTATTCCTTGTAGGGTGAAATAGCAGTACTTGAGCTTGCTGACTGAAGGCATGCTTGTTTAGCTTAATATATGCCATTTGCAAAACCGCTCGTTAAGTGTCTTGAGTACTTTAGTAACAGTTCACGTCTGACGGACATTGCATTATTTCTTGCTTTTCTCCTCTCTCTGGGGTTACGCATTTTAACTTTTCTGGAGAGTTTTCTGCTGGGGTGAACCTGAAACAAGTTACAAATCCAAGGCTTTGCCGAAGCTGGAAATTAGCCCAATTCCAACCGTTGCTTGTCAGTGTAACGTGGGATGTATGAAACTGAACAGAGAGTGGTTGCTGGAGGGAGCTCCTGGCAAGTCTGGAACGAGCTTCGGTGTTTGAAATGCTTGTTTGAGGATACTCTGAAAAAACACCTGCCACTGGCCCGACCCTTTTCCTGCGATGAGTAAGCAGACTCTTCCGACGGCATTTAGCATGTGCCGAGCTAGGCCAACAAACAGCGTGCTTGAAAATCCCATGGCAAGGAGTTTCCAGCAGACACTGGCAACTGCCCTCCTGAATCGGGGTCCAGTTTCCAACAGGAGCAAAGCCAAGCTCAACAACGAAGTTAAAAGCCAAACCATGAATAAACTAACTTCCTTACATTGTAAATAGATCGGAAAGGGGGCAGAAGTTCAAAAGGGAAAATGAGCAAAACTGCGCTGACTTTCCTTGAAACTAGGTCCCAGATGGTGGTGGTTCATTGAGATGCTCCCAGGAGAGTTGTGCTGGGCCAAGAGGCAAGAGCGTTTGGGGTAGGACATGGCCAAGAGGCCCTCAAAATGTAGCACAAAGGGAATTTGGGTACAGAGTAACGGCCAGCTGAGGAAAGGGAAAACAGTTCTCAAAAACCTTGTTCTTGAGCTAAGCCAGGTTCTTAGGTCATCTTAAGTGTAACTTTGATTCTTCAGCTGCGTTGGGTGGGGGTGGTTTTTCAGTGATGTGTATGTGGTAATACATACTGGATGCAGTTCAAGTTGTCATGAGAAAGTGGCTACAGGCAACAACAACAAAAAAAAAGTCATAACACTCCATTTTACAGTCTTCTAGTTTGGGCGGACTGAGAGCTCTGTTAAAGTTCTCCCTCTTCAGAGCTCTAAAGGCACTGTAAAACGGCAAGAGGTTGAGGTCTGGCAAGTGCAAGCTCAGGGCAAATCCACCTGAATCTTGGAAGTAGCAAAACAGCAGCAAATAAAATTTGTCAGCCTTTGAAAAAACAAAGTCAAGAAGAACAAACATCTATGGCCTTCAAAAAGGAAAGCAGATCTGTTGTTCATCAGGGAGTATGGGAAGGGAGAGAGATGAGCTTATTTGTGGATTATTTAAATTACTGTCAGCTGCTTTCCAGTCCAATGTACATCCAGGATCTCTAGGAGCTGGAAGCTGGGTGTCTGTGCTGAGCTCTCAGATCTCCCCCAAAAATCTTGTTTGAAGTATCTGCCTGCATTACGCTCCCGGTGGAGGCTGCAGTAAATGGTCATTCTTCCTTCCATTAGTTTTATTACTGAGAACCAGCCTGTTCTGCCTCTCCGCTGCTGCTTTAATCAAAGCTTTGCTACCAGATAGCCATCAGAAAAGACATCTGCAATTCAATTAGATATGTGCTTAAACTCACGATCTCTGTGAAACCGGCCGCTGCCAGAGCAGAGTGCCCTGCACGCCACGGGCTCACCGGGGCTGCAGCCTGCTGGGCTCTGCTCCGGCACTTCTGCCACCGGCGCGTCCTCCCTCCTGCCCCCCTGGCCCTGCTTACAGATGCTTGAAATGAGGACCCTTTCCTCACAGGAGGCTGCTAGGAGTTTATTTCTTCTTCCTTGCAAAGCAGGCAAGAAGCTAGAAACTTGGCGCTACTCGGGAGCCGCAAAATCTGCTTTATAACATATTGAAAGTGGTTGCTGCAGAGTAGCGTCTTTCTGCCTCAGCAGGTAGGATGAATAAGCTCCAAAGGGGCTCCAGAGGTAAATTATTGCACCTTTTGCATGGGCATGAAAGCATGATGAATTGATAGGAATGTCCATACCAAAAGAAGTTGGACTTCCTTGTTTTCACTGACTTACTTCAGGCTCCAGCTCTGTAAGTGCATATCCCCTGGGGCCGGCTGCTCCAGGGCCACCACTCTTGCTTGCAGTGACCCTATGAGGTGATCGAGATGAGGTCCAAACAA